AGAAATATGTTGATCTTTGACCTTTACACTTCACTTTCGATGTCTCCATCCTCATATTGAAATTGGCATCTTTGAAGTCAGGCCCATAGCTGGGGATATTCTCTTGGGTGCAGAAGACTTTGGTGACCATATGGTCAACCATTGTATTACTGGGTTCAAGTACAAGCACAAGAAGGATACCAGTGGGGACAAAAGGGCTTTCTGCTGCCTTCACAACCCCTTACTAACATGTAAAATATATCCTCTCTTCCAGAACCAAGGCCAGTACTGAGACTGACTCCCTCTATGATGGTTTTGACTTTTATACCTCTATCACTTTTGCCCATTTGAAGAGCTGAATTATTGACCTCTTCTGGAGCACACTGGATGAAAAAGGCCCTAAGATAAGTCACAGATCCATGACATTATTTTGGTGAGTGGTTCTACTCACATCCCCAAGATCCAGAAACTTTTGCAAGATTTCAATGGCAAGGAGCTGAATAGGAGTATCATTCCTGATGAGGCTATTGTTTATAGTGCCACTGTCCAGGCTGCCATCTTGTGTGAGAACAAATTTGAGTGCTTATCCAGGTTTACCTATCAATTTTGAGCTCACAGGACTCCCCTCTTCTCCAACCCCTCTTCCTTATGGTGCTTGAGATTGAAGTGATCTTTGAAATTGATGCAAATGGCATCCTCAGTGTATCTGCTGTAGATAAGAACACAAGAGAGTAAGATCACCATCACCAATGATAAGGGCTGCCTCAGCAAAAAAGACATCAGCCCCAAAATTGGTCCTAGTATGGTCCCAGAAGCTGAAAAATACAGACTAAAAATGAGCAGAGGTGAGATATCTTCCAGGAACTTACTAGAATTTTGTACTTTACATGAAATCTACAGTGAGGATGAGAAACACCAAGGGAAAATTAGTAATGAAGACCTTGACAAAGGTAATGAAATAATCAACTGGCTAAATAAGAAACAGACTTCCAAGAAGGAAGAATTTAAGCTTCAGCAGAAAGATGTTCTGCAACACCATCATTACTAAGCAATGCCAGAGAGCAGGGGCTATACCAGTAGACATGTTGGGGGATTCCCAAGTGCTGGAGCAGCTTTCTCTAGTGATGCCTCTTCTGGATCCACCAGTGAAGAGGTGGATTCATGTACTAGAAGAGAAAGCATCCTACATAGCTTTTCAAAAACCCAAAGGGCTCAAATTTGTAGCCAAGGCTGGGTGCAGTGGCAGATTAAAAATAATATCTGAGCCCCTTCTGTAAATCTGGACATTCTGAATATTTGAATGTTTGGAGAGGGACAGAAGTGACCATTGCACTTATCAGTACTATAAAATGAAAATGCAATTCTTGTCCTGGAGAATAAAAAATTTTAATTTGTTGCATATGTACACACATACACACTCACCCCCACATACAAACAGGTTGAGGAGTAAGAATAGCTGCTTTCAACTATTGGATTTGTTTGGCCCCAAGTGGCAAAAGTAGGACCAATGGGTGTTAGTTGCAAGAAGGCTGATTATAGCCCACATAAGAAAAAACCAGCAAGTTAAGCTATCTATTGGAAGACTAGGAGAGAGGGAAGGTCATTGGAGATGATAGTTAAGCCAAAGCTGGATAATCACTGGGGAAGGAGGAATATTATAGACAGGATTCATAATTTGTTCATGTTTAAGTTACACCTGAGGACTCTCCTATTTTGAGATTCTATGATCTTATGACAAATGTTTTAAACTTTATCATAATCAAGCAGGTAAAGAACTGGTCTTAAAAAGACACAGGTAAATTCCTGATGTTTTGAAGCTGTTGAAGTTTTTGATTTATCAAATATCAAGTTTAAAAGACATTCCCTCCCCAATTGATAAATGGTCAAAGGATATGAACAGTCACTTTTCAGATGAAGAAATTAAACTATCTATAGTGATATGAAAAACGCTCTAAATCACTATTAATTAGCAAAATACAAATTAAAACAACTCTTAGGTACCACCTCACACCCATCAGAATGGCTAATATGACAAAAAAGGAAACTAGTAAATGTTGGGAGATGTGGGAAAATTGGAACACTACTGCATTGTTGGTAGAGTTGTGAACTGATCCAACCATTCTGGAAAGCAATTTGGAACTATGCCCAAAAGGCTATAAAACTGTGCATACCCTTTGATCCAGCAATACCGCTGATATGTATCCCAGAGATCATAAAAAGGGGGAAAGGACCCATATGCTGAAAAATATTTATAACAGCTTTTTTTTTTTTGTGGTGGCAAAGAATTGGAAATTGAGGGAACACCCATCAACTGAGGAATGGCTAAACAAGTTGTGGTATATACATGTAATAGAATACTATTGTGCTATAGAAATGATGAGACTTCAGAAAAAACTGGAAAGACTTGCATGAACTGATGCTGAGTGAAGTGAGCAGAACCAGTAGAATGTTGTATACAGTAACAGCCATATTGTGTGATGACTAACTTTGATAAACTTAGCTCTTCTCAGCAATGCAAGGGTCTAAGACATCTCCAAAAGTCTCATGATGGAAAATGCTATCCACATGCAGAGAAAGAACTATGGAGTCTGAATGCAGACCAAGCATACCATTTTCACTTTTTTTTCCCTCATGGTTTTTCCCTTTTGTTCAGATTCTCCTCTCACAACATGATTAATGTGGAAATATATTTAATATGATTGTACATATATAACCTATATTGGATTGCTTGCTGTCTTGGAGAGGAGGGTGAAAAGGGAAGGAGAAAAATTTGGAAATCAAAATCTTGTAAAAGTGAACGTTGAAGACTGTCTTTGCATGTCATTGGGAAAAAAATACTATTAAAATGGGAAATAAAAAATAAAAGACATTCTTAAAAACTGAGACCATGAATAGTATGAAATCACTAAATTTTTGACAATATATGTTAAGAGGTTATGAAAATATTAATGTTATATATATATATATTATATATATATCTCAAAGCAGTCATGGCTGCCTTATTTAAATAGGAGATTAAATTTTTAAGAGGAAGTGAATTTTCATTTTATGTTAATTGTAAATCCATGTTATGTTAATTGTAAATTTTACTTTGTAATTTAAAATACTTTCCTTAGTATACACAAACCTTTGAATTAAGAGAAAGCAGAATTGCATGCACTGATTAATCACATGCCAAGTCCATTTGCATACCAATAAAAGCAAAACAAGTCACTATTATTAAAATATCAATTGCAATATTAAAATGTATCTAATAACCTTATTTTCAAATTAAGTGCTCTACCCACTTCCCTGGAATGATGATCTGGTGATATTTATGGGAAAGCACTTGGCAAACTGTAAAGGAGTCTTACAAACCTGATTGGTAAACATTCATGTCTTCCTAAGCATCTTTCAGCACCACACCTCTGCTTTCTAGCCCCTACCATTTACCTAAAACTCAAGCTGTCACCTCAGGCTTATGATCTGCTCCTCTCCCAGCCTGGGAATTTGCCCCTCTTTATGTAACTTGATGGGCTTCTACTCTTGGAAACTCACCCTACTGGTGATGAACTAAGTTTGGATACCTAATGGACTTTACAGCAGTTCAGAACACACAAACTCAAGCAATCCACTAGCCACATCCTCTTCAGTAACAGGGATGACACCACTACATCAGGTTATTTCCAGACCATCTTTATACCATGTCACCATAAGTGGCATTTTCTCCCATCAGCAAACCCATTTAGGCTTCTACAAAGCCTCAACATTAGGGAATGCTTGTATCTGTCCCTTAAGAAAAGCTTTCATAATTATCAAAATTAAAGTAGTATAATAAAGTGCTAATCTTACTAGCTATGTGAGTTGAGGCTAGTCTTTTAATCTCTATGCAGCCCAGGCATATATACACACATTTCTGTTGTTCAGTAGTGTCCAATTCTTCATGACCCCATGGAGCACAGCATGGCAGGCTATCCTCCAGTATCTCCCAAATTCTGTCCAAGTTCATGGTTGTTGTTTCCATGACACTATCTCAACCTCTGCCATTCCCTTTTCCTTTTGCCTTCAATCTTTCCCAACCTCCAGGTCTTTTCCAATAAGTCATGTTTTCTCATTGGCTTAAATATCCCTACTTTAGAAGTGATAAAACTGAGGCTCTGAAAGGTAAAAGGACTTATCTATGGTCCTACTGACAATAGTAGAATCAGGACTCAGAACCACGCCTTCTAACGCCAAGTTCTGTGTTCTTCCCACTACATGACACTGTCTAAGAGACACTGAGGTAACCTGCTGTGTGCACTTAGCACAGCATTTCCAAATAAAACCACAAAGTACATTTGTCTGCCTACATTTTGAAATGTAGGTTGTTTAATAGCATATGCACATCCTAAATACATGAACACGTTCTGATTTTAAAGTTAAACCTATACAGCATTTAAATATTTGTCATTCAATTTTATCTTAAAATAGATCTTTTATTACAATACTGAATATTCTGAAAGTGTCAGTTGCATGGCTCCAAAATGTTCAATTAAATATTTTCCTTCTGATTAAGATTAATGGAATTAAAGCCTTCAAAATATAATGCAAATCAAATAAAAACTTTAAGAATTGTACTTAAGGAAAAATATAAAAAAAAAATCACTCTAAAAAGAAAGCCTTAATTTTATATTACATATTCATGAAACAATTTTGAATTTCAAACTATCAACCTCTGGCAAATTTAGAGCAGGAAAAAATAAGACAAGATTTTTAATGTCTCCTTACTGAAATCAAAGGTAACATAAAATTTTAATTAAGAATTTCCTTGGGTGCAAAACCTAATTCTGTTCTTTACAAGAATAAATATTGTTAGAGCTATTAAGTTCAAACATTTTTAAGGAGAATCCAAAATCAAATGGAGAGCAATATGAAACATTATTCATAAGTTCTAAATCAAAAATCTGGTAGCAGGTAGATATAAAAAAATAGTAAAGCTTCAATCTCACAAATACTGAGTAACTAGAGAGCAAAATAATTTTTAACGATCTATATTCCAAGCCTCAGTATTTATCAAACACTTTATTGTTCTCAATCACTTTTTATTAAATGCTTCTAATAAACGCAATAGGTGCAGGAACAGATTGATGATATCCAAGTAGAGGTTGATGGCAGCCAATATATACTCTTCAGGGGACAGTTTGTGCATCAGTAGATGAGTATCATAAATGATGAATCCACAGAACAGAAGAGCTCCCATTGCAGAAAAGATTACCTCCACCAACTCATTATCATAGAAGAACTATAGATTAAAAAATAAATATATGTAGGTTAATATTTGAGAAAAGCATTTCCAGAAGACTTTAAATTACCTGCTATAATTAGCAGCTAATTATTTTTAAATAATCACTAGTGGCAAATGATTTTAAAAACAAAATGTTAAAAGCACATAAATTCCATGAAATATTCTAAATGCATTACTTTATACTATACCATAATGAGTAACAGTATAAAATAACACTTACAATTAACTTATTTTTTGTCTGAAATTTGGCAAAACTGCTTAGAATTCTATGGCAGCATCCCAAATGTATTTCTTATTCTAAAAGTCTGTAATTTTGTCTCTGTGGTTACTCCTTTTAATAGATACCAGTCACAACCCCTGTACAGTGGTCTTTGAGATGTACGATGGTTGAAAAATTCACCACCTTGCAAACAACCTGGTGATGAACTTCTTCAACTTAGCTTGGCTGGTCTTCTGACAATGCGCTTATTTCATCATTAAGCCCATACTTGAAGCCTTTCCAGTTTGTGAAGAATGACATTCTATCAGCATAGTCTTCAAAAACCCAGAGTCACCTCCAAATCAATAAGATATTTGAAAACTTCTTCAACATTGAAATATTTTACTTTTGCATCCCAAATTTTTTCCTTTGAAAGCTGACAATCTAATTCAATTGAGATTTCCTAAAAGATGTTAAAGGACTTCATTATCTATGATTCTATTAACTGAGTTACTCATTTATTCATAAAACATACACTGAGCACCTACAATGTGAAAAGTCCTATGCTAGATATTATGGAGGTAGATAATACAAACATAAATAAGGTAATCTGTTATTCTCAAGACACTTAAAATCTAGTAGTGAAAATAGGTATAAAAATAATCATACTGTAAGACCATATGTGACGAGTGCTTTTAAGGGAGATTCGAGACAAGTATATACACAGATTTAGTGCTGGTTTGATCACAGGCTTCCTGGAAGAGGGAACATGTGAACTGGCCCTTTTAGGGTGGTCAAGACGGATGAAGGGCAAGGTTTTCAAAGGTAAAGAAAATGGCAAGAATAAAGAAGTGAGAAAATAAGCTGTGCTTAGGGACCCATGAGTAATCTAGTTAGGGGAGAATGTGAGTATACACAATGAAGCAGAATATAAAATAAAAAGCTAAACTGAGATCAGATAAAAGGCAATGAGTAACAGGCTAACGGGTTTGTACTTAATTTAGTGGACAGTGGGAAGCCAAGGAGAGTTTCAAAACGATAGAGTAACATAAACAAAATGATACTATGGAGAGACTAATCTAGCTATGGCATATATTAATGAATTGCATCAAGGAGATACCAGAAATAGGGACACCAGTCAAGAAACTATTGCAATCATCTAGGCAGATGTAATCATGGCACAAACCAGGGTGGCAGTGAAATGGAATGGATGATATGCGTCCAAAGTGCAATGAGAAATTTGGGGAGGGAAAGGGATTTTAATCAGGGAGGTATGTCATATGGTGGGTGGTTGGTAGAAGAGTATCTATTTCAGGCATGGGGAAAGGTGTATCCAAAGGCATAGAAATCAAAAAGACCAAGATGGGAATGGGAAAAGAATTCAGTTTGAAATATGTTGAATGTATGATCTTGTTAGGATATGGACAACTGAAAATATGGAACTAGAGTACAGAGGTGATGTCAAGGGCAGAGATGGAGACATAAGCAGTTAGCTAAACAGAAAGTGAGAAGCAGGGAAAGTGGAATGAAGTCTGAATGAGGGTAGGGACAGTGGAAATAGAAAGGGAAAGATCTGAGAGCTATAAAGAAGGAAAGGACAAGATGTGAGGGCAAGGGCAAAGGAGGCACATTTTGGAGACTGAGTAATAATTAGGAAGACTGTGATACTGTGAGGTGACATGACCCTCTGGAGGGCTGGGAGGAGGGCCAGAAAGATGGGAGGGGGTTTCTCTGTTGAACAGTTGTTATATAGGTATTTTCCTACTGTACTAGAGGTCTAGGAAATCAACTTCTCCCCTATAGATGGGTAACAAAAAAGTTTGGCAGGGAAGGGGCAGCTTGGCATAATAAATAGACTTGGAGTCAAGAAGACCTAAGTTCCCACCCGACTTCAGACACTTACTGGCTGTGAGACCCTGGGAAAATCACTTAACCTTTCTTGTCTTCAGTATCCTCATCAATAAAATGAGGATAATAGAAGTGCCATATTTCACCCACACAATCATCACACCCTGTTTGGGTTTTTTTTTTTTTTCAGTCCAAAAAATTGGTTTATAGCCTTTTATTGCAAAATCATTGCATGGTATAATTCTGTTCATCATGCTGCTTAAAAGATAAATAAAGCAGCAATGTATTCACCAGTGGCATATGGATACACATTTATCTCTGGCACATTGTAAGCCGCAAGCCTGGAATTCTCAGCACATGTGCATTGTCAGTATATTTCCCAAAGCCAACTTGCATGGTTTGTTTAGAGCCCTGTAGTACTAACTGTATTGTCACTCAACCCAATGAAGAGCTGTAACGGGGCAGGTAAAGCTGCCATGAGCAAGTCACATAATATGGTTAAGATTTGAATCTTTCCAATTTCAACATTTATTCACAAGTACTCCGTACAGCCTAATCTTTCACCAAAGACAATTCAGTAATAAATGATTTTTAAGTAATACCAGCACATTTTAAAAGCTTCACATAATGGTCGCACCCACTTTTGCAAAAAAATTGGTGTAAAATCTGTGATGATTATGCGGTGAGATATGGTACTCACTTCACAGCCTTCACAAACCTTTAAAAAGTCTATGTATGTATATGTATGTTAGCTATTATTATTATCTGGCATATGCTTATTCTTCGAAAGTCCATTATCTTGGAGTTCTCAATCTGCTGAGGATTAGATCAAAACTAAACTGGCAACTTGCTGATAAGGTCAAAGGTAGAGTCAGCAGAAAGTGCTAACTTTGAACAGAAAGAGAAAGACAGTCAGCTGGGGACTTGCTAAAAGTAGGAAGAAAAGGCAGGCTTAAAAGTAGGAATCAGGGCAGCCCAGGTTCCAGATGCACTGCCTTCAGACATAAGGTGTCTGATGTCAGTCTAGGGCAGCAGGTACAGATGTTAAACTTGTCCTGAAGGGTAGAATAAGGTCAACAATTAGCTAATGAATAAAGCAAACCAAAAGGGTGGAGAAGGAATAAGTCAAGGCTAAATTAAAACTTTTAGAGGCCAGATCCACTGAGACCTCCAGGAAGATAAAAGAGGTTATTGCTAGGTCAATACACTAAGGAAGCAAAGAGAAAAAAAAAATCCTTGGAGGCTAAATAAGGAAATGCTTTTCTCAGCTAGGGGGCAGAGGTGAGCGTAGAAGTCAATAGCCACTGAGACAAAGAGGAAAAAGGTGACTGCAAAGTTCTTGCAGAATGACTGGTAATTAAGGGAAGGGTGACCAGGGTTGGCTGAAGACTTTTTAATACATGTATTAATTTAATTTAATACATGTATTAAAAGCCTCTAGCCTTCTGTATCAATCCTTTGTAGGGGATTTATGGAAAAGAATAAACAAGAATGCACGAAAGAAGTACCTATAGTAATGAGACCGCAAAGCTACTCAAGTAGATAAAGTACAGATATTTCCCTGTTGTGATTAGTGATAAAGGCTGATAAAAACACTTTAGGACCCTAAGAAAGAGATATGTGCTGATTTCAGGGGCAACAGGAAAGGGAAAACACTGAAAACCTATATTCCATTCCACAGGGAACTCAGTGAGGGAAAACTGGCATGAGAACAATGACAGCAAGAAACCAGTAGGGGGAGCTGCCAAAACAAGTCAATGGTGGACAGATGATTCCGTTCTTGGCCCTCCTCTCTTTCCAAGCTCTTTCCAAGCAATTTCAGTCCTGCCTATGGTTCCAATGGATGACTCCCAAATCTATAGCTGCACCTGTAACATCTCTGAGCTGTAGACTCACATTTTAGACGGCATAAAAAACCTCTCCATTTGAATATTCTGGGGCCAAAACTCAACATGTTCAAAAGTGTGATTATGTTTTTCTTTTAACGTTTTACTGATGCATTTTATCTTTACATCATAATTATTTCTCAGGGGAAAAAAAATCTCCCTTCCTCCACCTATACTGAACATTTCCTTTTTAACACAGAAAAACAAGTAAACAAAACACCAAATATAGTGACAATATTTACACCCCACTGCTCTGCCATAAAGGGAATGCTTCATTAGCTCTGAGACCTTCACTGGTTTTTTTCCTATTACTAAGAATTTGACTTAAATGACATTTTCATTCCTTTTTATTCTCTATTGCCATCTTCTCTTCATTTTAAGTTCACATGGTCCAAATTTATCATTCAATCTAGATCCTGGTGACCTCTATCTACTAACCCCCAGGTCATTCTGCCTTCTTTCTTAGTTTCTGGTTCCATCTTTCTCCACCGCACCTCCTGCCCACATAATGGGGAAAATCATAAATGTTACTACTCTAATACCTTAACCTCCCAGCTCCTCAATTTGTTCAACTCCTATAACTTACTGATCAAATACCAGCTACACATAGGGAGAGTTACCCCCTTGCCTAGCATTACCTATAGGTGCTTTACTTCCAGGATCAAGAACTCTGAAATTACTTTATCTAGTCAAAATCACCTATATTTCTATCCCTTCCTAAACCTTCCTCTTCCTAAAACTATTCTTCATTCTTATATGATCTCTGATCCCTCTACTCTTCTCAGGCCAGGACCCCTGCTCTGGCTATTCCTCTCTTCCCAAATCTTGACCCCTTGGTGAACCAGTTCAACTCTGTACCATCCTATAGTCTTAAACCTCTTGCTGACTTGTTCTATTACTGCTCACATTATGCAGAACCCTGCATGACTCCCACAATTTGCCTCTTCTGCTCCTACTCGCATGGTGCTGAATTCAAATGGAAGAAGTCATGCAACTGTGATTGACTCCACTATAGATTCATACCATCTAACCTCAGTTGAGCCCTCACTGCATCTAGGCAATCC